GTGGCTCCCCATCCACATGCCTCCTGGTCTTATTCCTTCGGGTTTACACTGGATATGGGGTGTGTGGTTGGAGCTGTGGGTGGTGCAGTGCAAGCCATCCATGGTCCCTCTGTAGGCGCAGGCGTCCAGTGGCTGGCCACAGTGACAGGCAAATCCGAAACCGGATGCCGCCAACCATGTATGTGTGTGTAAACCTGTGCAGCTGCGCGACTTTTGGAACAATGCAGATTGTTGTGTTCGTCGACGGCAAAACCACCGATGAGTCTGCCGAAGTCGCCTATTCAACGGAAGCACCATGGAAAGATCCTCTATGCATACCAGGGGGAAATTGCCATTACTAAGCGCAGCTGTGGAGGAAACAACAGAGAGAAGCTGGCTACGCTTTTCAACGCCCCAAGAAGGCTGTAGATCACATACAAGAAGTGCTATTACCAGCTATATCGCGTCAACGGTGGCACGACGACCGTAAGCCAGTAGGCTTACGTTCTCAATTTTTCAGTACACGCACTGTATGACAAAAATGAGCGCTGGTTCAAGCTCCATCTATGGCGGATTCAGGCTCGCTCAAGCAAAAGGATGCGCTCATTTTGGTTGTTCCATGCAGCAGCAGGCTGATAAAGCTGTGTGTTTTATTAGTCAAAACAACCTGTACTGTTGCAATAATCACGTTGCTGTGCAGGTTTACGCACACATGAAGTACGCGAAGGTCGACAGGGAGACAAGGGAATACTGGGTCACCTCCTTTGGTTGTGGTAATGACGCTCATGAGTAAGAGAATGGCTGCAAATGGTGTGTAGCTAGAAGTACGAGCTTGTCACGTAATCTTGCGGCGCGGGTTTGAATCCGCGTAGAAGTGGGTATCTTCGCGGTATACTCAGCCCGCGTGCGACTGGTGGTGGTCACGGCAGCGAAGCGCCGTTACGACGTACAGTTGCCACATTATTTATTTTATCTTCGTTTCTTATGCAAAATCGCCCTCTGTTTGCACAATTCGGGCTGCATTTGCCTGAGCGCAATGTGGCCTGAACATCATCCTAGATGCATTAAGATTATGTGGACATAAAGGGGGCTGTGATGGGAGTGTCTTACCAAAATGAACTGGTGGGTCAACCGAACAAGCCAGATAGCCAATGTGAAGCGGGTGTAACTGATATGACTGCTGGACATGGATTGGCCGACATTCATGTGTTTTACTTATCGTTTGTTTAACGGAATCAAAAGAAGTACCTCAATGTCTCAGAAATGTAGTTATTTATGAACCTGAACGCGTAACTTATATCGAGGGAGTATGGCTTGCCAAACGTGCTGCAATTTGCCATGAGTTATCTTTGCCGAATAGGCGTCTGTCGCTGAAGGACTGAGTTCTGTTATTTGTTATCAGAGAAGACAAAGACGAACCCAACCAACGGCGCTCTGATACTGCTCAAATCACCAGCGTCTATTCAGATGCCTGCCCCTTAGAACATGGATGAACGGAACTTGGCAAGTAATTGGCGTCCATGGAGGAGCAAGTGGCTGGATTTTTGCACAGTAGTACGTCTGGACGACGACCGATTGAGTATCGCCTGGCCATGTTTTGACACGCAGCAGGGGATGACGCGCGCCGTGTTCTAGAGACCTTGCACTACGACAAAGGCGAAGATTCCAATAATTTGGAGACGATCATTGGAAAGTTCAGGGAATTATGTGAAGACCAAACCAACGAGACCTACCAGCGTTATCTTTTCTTTTCGCGCAAGAGGCCCAAACGAATCCGTCGACGCTTATGTCAGTGAATTGAAGATTTTGGTCCGATCCTGCAATTTCTATAAATGCATGGGCGCGATCGGATCGTTCTGGGAATCAATCATGAAAGGACATCAAAGCTGCTTTTGCGACAACGCAACTTATCGCATCAGCAGTGTATTGATATCTGCAACATTGAGTTCGCGACCACCTATCAATACCAACAAATGAAACTCGCACCTGATGAGGAATTGTGTACCGTTTCCGGAGGCGAAGCAGCAATGGCTACTAACGACAGGCAGATTATCTGCAAATTTTTCGCCGCGCGCCACCCGAGCTCTGATGAACAGTGTCCGGCGTGGCGAAGGAAATGCATCAAATGTGAAAAAGGGAACCACTTTGCTCGTTGCTGCCAATCAACCAGTGCGAGTATGGTCGTTCGTGACAAGTCGCCTGCAGATGCAAAACATACAATTGGTAACGTGTCTCGGAAGGTGCCACAAAAAGGTGTCGGAGGCAAGGCCGTACGATTCCAGTTAGACACGGGAGCTACTGTCAACATTCTATCAAGTAAGCATTGTATCGGAGTGTACATTCGATCCGGTCAAGATGGCCTGCGCATGCGGAGTGGTTCCAGATTTGTTCCGAAGGGCCCCACTACAATAGAAGTGGTTAACCCAAGGGACGGAGCCTCATACCGACTGGAGTTTGTGTTTGTGGATGAGGAGCTCACGCCGATACTCGGCATTGATTCGATCCAGTTTCTCGGTTTTGTTGTTTTTAATGATGATCGTTTCGTGCATGCTTGCCATGGAGAAACCGATATTAGTGACAAGTATTCATCTGTGTTTAGCCCAGGTTTTGGAAAATTTGAGGGAACCGCTCCAATATCGTTAGATTCTTTGATACGACCGACAGCGGTATCAACTAAGAAAGTTCCATTTGCACTGCGTGACAGGTTTCGCGCTGAGTTGAGCAAATTAGTGAGGGTGTGATTGCCAAATTTGACGAGCCAACCGAATGGGTTAGTCAGGTCGCAATCATTACGAAGATGACAGGCGAACTGCGCATGTGTATTAACCCGAAACCGTTAAATGTGGTCCTACGTAGAGAGCATTACGCGTTACCTCCCTAGAAGACATCTTGAGACACCTGGTCAAAGCTTAGTATTTCACCAAGGTGAACCTGTTTTCCGCATTCTGCATGTGGTTCTAGATGAAGAATTCAGTTTCCTGATTACATTTGCAATACTGTTCGGTCGTTTTCGTTGGCTGCGTCTACCGTTTGATTTTAAGGGGTCGAGTGAAAGCTTCCAAAAACGATTGGTGCAAGCGCTAGACGATTTAGATGGTGTAACATGTGTGGCAGACGATGTTTTAATTTATGGCTCGACGGAACGAGAGCATAACGCTAATCTGCACCGTTTCTCGCAGCGTGGTGTGCAAAATAACATCAAACTTAAACGCGAAAAAAATAAGCTTCAGAAAGATGAGGTGATTTTCCATGGGCATGTGTTAACTACCCAAAGGATCCGGGTCGATCCAGGAAAAATCAAGAGAATATGAGAGATGCCACCCCCTAACGACGTGAAGGGAATCCATCGCTTAAACAGCATAGTGAAGTATTTGAGCCGCTTTATACCTAGACTAGCTGATATCATGACGCCGATTAGGAAGTTAACTCACAAAGGAGTAAAGTGGAGTTGGGGAAAGAAACAGGAAACCGCGTTTGTAACTATTAAGCACCTTATCAGCAACGCGCCTGTACAATGATATTACGATCCAGCGCAGCCACTGGAGGTACAGTGTGACAATAGCCAGGACGGGATAGGCTGTTCTCTTACAGAATGAACGACCTTTAGATTTCCGTAGTCGAGCACTCGCCGTGACCGAGTAGCGCTATGCGCAGATTGAGGAGACGCTCAGAGTAGTGCCTATGCCATGGAGCGTTTCAACGATTTTACTTTCGGAAGAAAGACAACTGTGTATACCAACCACAAACCGCTGCACATCGCTCCTCGTCGTCATCAGCGTATGTTTACCCGGCTTCAAAAGTACAACGTGGATATCGTGTACACGTCTGGTGCACAGAAGTTCATCGTGGACACGCTGTCAAGAGCACATCTACCGGTGCCTGGGCATAATCCAGTAGAAGTCGAGGCAGTAAACCTAGTACAACGCCTAGCAGTGACGGAAGTTCGTTTGAATGAAATACGGCGCCACACAGAGGAAGATGTGTCTGCAGCTTTGCGAGACGCTATTATAAATGGTTGGCCAGAAACGAAGAAGTAGCTACCGAAGGAACTAACACCGTAGTTCAATTTGTTGGATGAACCCTCTGACTACGATGGTTCACTGTTCAAGAGGAGCCATATTCTGATTCCTCCATCGCTCCGAGGTGAAACGCTGAAATACGTTCATCGCGCTCACCTTGGTGCCAACAATGCAATTAACCGAGCAAGAGAATTGATCTTCTGGTCAGGAATAACGGATTAAATCAGAGATCGTGTGTTGAATTGTGAGGCGTGCAGTTCCCACGAACTCCGGCAGACAAGGGAACCAATGATGTTGCGTGATATCCCTGATCGACCGTGGCAGAAGGTGGCGGTGGATTTATTCTGTGACGACGGGAAAGATTACCTACACACGGTGGATAATGGTGAAAGCGATCTGCTCATCACTACGACCACAGAAGCAGTAAACAACAAGCTCAGGTGTCAATTCACGCGGCACGGAATACCGGAAGAGTTGAGCTCTGAAAATGGTCCGCAGTTTACTAGCGCTGCGTTCCAGGCGTTCGCAACCAAGTGGGAATTGATGCACCAGAAAACCAGCCCACATCGCAGCCAAGCGAATGGAAAGACAGAATCAACAATGAAGCAGGCCAAACGACTGTTATTAAAGGCTATAGCTACTGGCGAAGACCCTACCTAATGCTACTGGATGTGTGGAGGATGTGATGGGAGTGTCTTACCAAAGTGAACGGGCGGAACAACCGAGCAAACCAGATAGCCAATGGGAGGCGGGTGTAACTGATTTGACTGCTGGACATGGATTGCCTGACATTCATGAAGTACCTCTTTACCTCAGAAAGTTCGTTAGTTAGGGACTTGAACGCGTAACTTATATCGTAGAGTATGGCTCGCCAGACATGCTGTAATTTTCCCTGAGTTGTCTTTGCCGAATAAACGCTTGTCCCCGAATGACTGAGTTCTGCAACAGAGACTCTCATCGGTGGCACACAAAACACCTACTTCACAACGAGTGCGAACTTACCCCGTGGACCCGAGTGCGCAGCTCCTTGGACTCGTCATCACTTCTGCGCATCAGCTGCACATGCTGCACCCGTTCCTCCTCCAACTGACGAACACGAGACTGCAGTGACTTGGCCTCTGTGCGCATTTTACTGAGGTATAAACGCATCACGGTGAACTCTTCGTCTAGTCGTTCCGCTCCACCGAAAGTTGGCTTCTGTACGTAAAAAGGAGAACAAAAGGGAGTAGGTTGCAAAAAACAGAAGTTAAGAGAAATCGATGCACCAGGCGATGGACCGTGGGTAGTCTGGAGTAACATAATAGTAGTGCGCAGTTTAACTGTCACACAAACACCTGGCAGCCACCTATGAACAGAAGTAGCTAAGTTTGCTGTGGAAAATGGTAAACAGCAGATAAACTACCAATGTAGGAGAAGAATCATCAGTTGTTAGGTGAAAAAGAAGTACTGAAGCTGTGCTACTACGTAGCCACAAGCAGTTTTATGCGGGTTAGAATATTATAAAGACGCTCAAGCCAAAGCAAGATGGAAATAGAGTCATAAACACAAGAGTTACACATTGAGTGCATGGGTTGCTGGCTGAGGATGCTCACCGTCAATTGGTCACTCATACATTCTCCAACTTCGACGAGATCCTTTAGTAGATGATTCATCATTTCGGAGTACTTTTTCTTCTGAGTTGTGAAATTATCCTTCAGTTGTGACAATTCGCCATCTTTGCTGTGTATCGCGCGTGTTTGTCGGGACAAAGCCTCCTGAGCCTCTTCCAATTCTTTGGTTTTCGCATCGATTTCTTGCGCCTTTTGATCGTAATTCATCGCCAACTCTTCCAATGCCTGCAATACTTCTTTGACTTCATCTTTGCTTGATTGGTACTCAGCCTATAAAACGAAGGAAATTCGATTACACAAGACTTCTCATCGCACAAAAAGAGCGACACATATACGGAGAAGATATGTCTAAGATGAGGTGTTACGAACTAGTAACGGTTAAAATGTGCGAAGGTTGTGGCATTAGTGGAACTAGATATGTTTCATCGACTAGGGTTGGGACTGAAGCAAAGATCAGACTGACCCAGTACGCAGCTTTGACAATCTGGCATTTCAACTGTTACCGGAGACATGCTAGGACCGGGTGCTCCGTGTATGAAGCAACTGCTTGTATCTCTGAATTGCTTTTGCACAAGGCTATGTATTATTAGCCGAGTGAGGTAAATCTAGCAAATGTAGTAGAAAACAACATTACAGTTACAATGAACGTATGGGAAAAGAGTGAGGCATAAAGAGCCGAAAAACTCAAGTGTTATGAATGATGAGGTCTGCCAAGGTAGACTGATTTGGAAGGTGCAACGGAATGTTGGGTCATGCACAACAGACACTGAGGATGAGTCCACAAGGATGAGGTAGCAATGACGAACCGAGATCAGATGAGTATAAGAATGTAGTGGTTAAAATTGAAAATCCACTACAGCTTAGGCAGAATAGCTAAAATGTCAGCCACATTCCATTGATATATATACAATTTTCTTTTCAAACTGAACATTGATTATTTTAATCAGAAAATCAGCAATTTGTTAACAAGAAATAAGAAGCAAAGCGAGTGGATGATGTTCAGGCCACATTGCGCTCAGGCAAATGCAGCCCGAATTGTGCAAACAGAGGGTGATTTTGCACAAGAAACGAAGATAAAATAAATAATGTGTCAGCTGTACGTCGTAACGGCGCTTCGCTGCCGTGAGACCATCATCAGTCGCACGTGGGCTGAGTATACCGCGAAGATACCCACTTCTACGGGGATTCGAACCCGCGCTGCAAGATTACGAGACAGCCATTCTCTTACTCATGAGCGTCATTACCACGACCAAAGGAGGTGGCCCAGTATTCCCTTGTCTCCCTGTCGGCCTTCGCGTACTTCATATGTGCGTAAACCTGCGCAGCAACGTGATTATTGCAACAGTGCAGGTTGTTTTGACTAATAAAACTTGCACAGCTTTATCAGCCTGCTGCTGCATGGAACAACCAAAATGTGCGCATCCTTTTTCTTGAGCGAGCCTGAATCCGCCATAGATGGAGCTTGAACCAGCGCTCATTTTTGTCATACAGTGCGTGTACTGAGAAGTTGAGAGCGTAAGCCTACCGGCTTACGGTCGTCGTGTCACCGTTGACGCGATATAGCTGGTAATGGCACTTCTTGAATGTGATCTACAGCCTTCTGGGGGCGTTGAAAAGCGTACCCAGCTTCTCTCTGTTGTTTCCTCCACAGTTGCGCTGAGTAATGGCAATTTCCCCCTGGTATGCAAAGAGGATCTTTTCTACGGTGCTTCCGTTGAATAGGCGACTTCAGCAGACTTGTCGGTGGTTTTGCCGTCAACGAACAAAACAATCTGCATTGTTCCAAAAGTCGTGCGGCTGCGCAGGTTTACACACACATACATGGTTGGCGGCATCCGGTTTCGGATTTGCCTGTCACTGTGGCCAGCCACTGGACGCCTGCGCCTACAGAGGGACCATGGATGGCTTGCACTGCACCACCCACAGCTCCAACCACACACCCCATATCCAGTGTAAACCCGAAGGAATAAGACCAGGAGGCATGTGGATGGGGAGCCACGTTTCACCAACGGAGCCGGCCCACACTCCTTCACAGGCAAACACAAGCACACTTTATTTGGAAATCAAGCGCACACAAGGCGGTGGCTGGACCGTAGTCCGCTCCACACTGACTGCATGGAACCACTGTTTGATCCTAACACGGCCACAAGGACCGTGCACCCTGTCCCCTCCAGCAAGGACCAACTGTCTCCTGGAGTCACACACACACACACACACACACACACACACACACACACACACACACACACACACACACACACACAATATGCAAAGGCCGATAGAGGGAGAGGGGAAAACTCGGTCATTGCTTTTGATCAAGAAAACGGTGCTCGTGAGCAAAAGCAAGGATTGCCATAGCGCTCGCTGCTTGCACAATTCGAGTCGCATTAGCCTGAGTGCACTGGGGCCTGCGTATGGGCCAGCCCACTTACTATTTATTCCTTTCTAACACATTGCTGACTTCCTGCTTAAAATAAACTGTCCAGGTGGATTTGCAAAATGTCCAGGTTAAAGTGAAGATGGTATACAAGTCTAATTTATATAGGAAATCGTGAATGAACATGTGGAAACTAGTAACAGCGGCAACAACATTTCAAAGGACAGGAGTTTTTATTGCGCAGTTACGGAACGAGAGTAAAAAACATGGTACCTGAATGGAAGTGATTTCGGCCAGTTGTGCGTCTCTGTCATTCCTCATGGACCGTATGATTTCATCTTGTTCTTCCACCTGATGACGGAGTCGATCGATCGTCTGAGCCAATTTGTTAATTTCATCGTCTTTATCATCCATCTGGTTATATAACATTTGGAGTTGCTCCTCTGTGACGCAAGCAGCCGGCGCCGCGGCACGAGCTGGTTCCAGTAGAGATAAAGCAGGTGCTCCTGGGCGACCTGCAAGCAAGGCAGAATTATGAGCAGAAACGATTTAGTGAAGATGTAATGTTAAATGCTTGAGACGATGGAATGCAGCTAACTGGGGCAATAAGTAAGTAAAGACAAAAAGAGACTATAAATTGACCGACTTTTAGTACAGGTAAAATAATGGGAATGATGACAAGAGAATGACGCGTTGCCGCCATTGCAATCAGCTAGCTAAAGCACGGAGGACACACTGAAGTGTATCTACAGGAAAAATGACAACCAACACAAGGTGAAAAGATGTCAAAGCGTAAATGTAGGCATGTCTCGGTACAAATTCCACAGGAATAAGTGCTAGATTTAGCATATGAGACAAGGTAGGATATGTCAACTGCAAATAAACCACATATAAAGTTAAAGAGTCCATGTGAAGGAGCGTGGTGCTGCAAGGCTTTGGAGAAATCGACTTCATACAAAATGTCTTTATAGTGTGGTCAACGTTGGTTCCTGGCAAGGAGCATTTGAATACCCCTCAAAGAGGAAAGATGCCGGATATGTAAATCTGTTAGAAGGGCTACCTTCAAATGAATTCATTCCTCCATGTTCATTGATTGTAAATATTTTTCCTTTACTTCAGCTCATCACTGATTCTATCCTGGACTTTGACGCTCTTCCTTTCCACTATAGTGTTCAATCAATTTTTCCACCCGGAGATATACCTCCCATCAACACTGGTTTATCTTTTCATCTTCAGTGTTGTTGATAATGTGGTTGATTGGCGGAAATAAAGAGCTTAAGACTGGCGATGTAGTCCTGAAACAAATCCAAGAACGTCATTTTCAACCATGGACTTGAAAGCATTCTGCCAGCATGTGAGGTTAGAGGAATTTGATATGCGCCTCATTCAAGCTTGTTCAGCCCCTCTCCAAATATTATTTCCATCAACAAATGACAGCTAGGTATCTTCAGTTGATGCATGTGCGGTTTCTACCTCAGAGTTTTATTACTAGTCCATCTCGGGTTTCCGCTTTGACTTGCGATACAAACGCTTTAGGGGACAGTTGAAAATGAGTCCACGCATAAAGATGACGCATGGAAATCTTGACTCTTAATCCAGAAACTGGGAGTCGTCGAGCAAGGTCGTGTCTTCCAAAACAACCTGAAGATTTTGACTGCATACATACAGCGGAAAAACCGCGTGAGATTTCGCAGTCAACTTTAAGTCTGCAGAGTCAGATACAACTGCCTCAAGTTGGAGAAGTGTGATGCAGACGGTTAGACTCACTTATGCAAGCAAGATAAACCTCAGTTGCGGACATTCACAGAGAATAAGTCTAAATGTTTGACTTTCGTTTCAATCTAAGTGTCAGACGTCCGTACTCGACTGCGTTCCAAACTTGAATACCAAGCATATATTGTTGTGAAACCTCTCACTATTGACTGTTAGCATCTATTCAGTCTTAAGCATGATACCGCCATGGTGCACGAATCCCGATCAGTAGCTACAAGCAGAGTTCATGCATTGACAAGAACAACTGCCCCCAGCTAATTGCTGGCCCAGTGATGAATTGGATTATGCTCGTTTTGTGCTTTAAAGAAACACTAGTGTCAGAAGTGTCAACGATCGGGTCACAAAGGCTTCTGTCGACCTTAAATGTCAAGAAACGAATCACCCAAAAGAGCGTTCACAGTTCAGTCAGATGTACAAAAAGAAATCGAACAGGAAACACCCCTCAGTCCATTCCCGTGTTTGTAACATTTAAAGTCGATGTTGAGTCGAGAAAAAGTACTTATTAGTCTCCATTAACAATATCCCAGTCTGTACTCCGCTTGGTCGACCGGTGGCCGAGTGGTCTGCGCGCTTAGTTTGCAACCATAAGGTCCGCGATTCGAATCCGCGTAGGGGTGGGCGTCCTAGTGGTATACTCAGTCCGCGCGCGACTGATGGTGGACGCGTGGCGGCGAAACGCCGTTACGGCATAAAGCTGACAAACTATTATTATTATTATTATTATTATTATTATTATTATTATTAGGTGGACCACCTGCGGAGATAACGTTGACCTCATGTTCCGCATGGGAATTAATCGAGAACCCTAGATTATTAAACAGCAAACCCCATGGCCGAAAAGTATCAGGTTGCACTTGGCGGATGACTGGAGAACTAACCTGTGACGTGTATTCAACAATGTGCAGTTCTTAGGGATATGTCATATCACAGACTATCCAAATGTGAGCGTTCTTTGACTTGACCGGATTGTAAGACTTGCATCCCTGAATGTCCCACTTTCAACCCTATGCTCGAGTACGCACCTCAAGTCCACTTCCCTCGGTTGCTGCACTGGGCTCAAGGTCAGGTTCAGCTACAACCAAATGTTATGTAGGTTTTCAGACCAAAACTAGTCAAATACACCACTAGAAGCTGTAGATAAAGAGTTAAAGCGCCATTAACAATCCAGAGTTATGCAGCCTGTAAGTTATTCATTGTGGGCAGCTCCTATTGCTGTTGTTGAAAAGGCATATGCCAAAGTGTGTGTATGTGCTGACTGCTCGAATGGACTTAACTGTTAGACTCAAATCAGCCCCAATTAACAGTTCCAGAAGATGTGTGCATCAAACTCAATGGCAGCATCTGTTTTGCAAAACTGGTTCACGCCGCTGTATACCTTCAAACAGAAGTCCTGAAGGATCGCAAACTCCGACCGACTAACCGCGGATTATTCCAATTTAATCGTTTACCATTGGGTGTAAAAGTGAAACCAGCCATATTCAAACAAATAAAGACTTCAAGTTAACTCGGTTATCAGTGGCTGGTTACTTGGATGACAATCGTCACAGAATGCAGCCAGGAAGAACTTCCACATCGTCCACATTGCGTAGTTCATCGAACCCGACAGCATAGTTTTCGTCTTCACATAGAAAAATGTATTTTCTTACTAAACTCCAGAGCAGCTCAACTTATCGTCAACCAAAGTGCGACGTTTCCTCTGAGGAAATCCATTAAACCTCCCATAGAGAGGTGGCACGAAAGATGAAGGTGGACTCCTACATCGAAAGTAGTACCTTACTCCAGCTTGCTCAGCCATGTTTGAGATCCGGATATCTAAGGCCCCTATCCCGAATAGAGAGCCTGGGATACAGCGCTAAAAGAATAACAGCTTGAACTCCATGCGGTACGGTCGTCAGCGGATAGAAGCATCGCGCCACCCCAGATGGAATGAGTGCGCAAGTATAACTTACCCAGCCGAAGGAGAGGCCTGGTGCTGGACATTGCTCGGATCAACCCTCGGACTTGTCCAACTCAGACATACTTGTTTTTTAAATAGCAGTGGAAACTGGTTATCTAGAGACCCGGTTATAAGCCATATATACACACGGATTCATTTCAGTATGTCAGTTGATTTAATAACGGCACGGGAAGGTGTTATTCCAAAAAATGAATGGTTTAAGTATACAGTCAACCTTTCATGCTAGTACAGCCAGGGAATGAACCGGACCGTGCAAAAAGCATGCAGTAAAACATTTGTTTCGTGTAGTGTGTAGTCCAAAACACCAAAGAGGGAAAACGACTTAGCAGTAACTGCACTTGAAGTGTAAGCAACTTTCGAGCGCTACAAATCAGGCGACTGGTTGATGCACTATACTGAGACCAGGCAAAGCAATGGGGTGCTTATAACGTGGAGCCGCTCTTTGAAATGAACTCCGGACATGTCTTTAAATGAAGTCGAAAGAACTGTGCACTGAATTAGTCTACCTTCCTGTCTTCCTATTCCTCCTCGTGCGCATTTTCATCCTTGTCGTCCCGTTTTAACGTTTTTATCCCCTCCCAATTCAACCCCAATTCTTAACCATCATGCTTCTTACTTCGACAGTCGCGTGTCTTTTAGTTGCAACTCACAATTGCAGGGCGTCACTCCGGTCCAGTCAGAAAGTTCATGTTCACCCAAGCGGGCGGAAGTTCATTAGTTTTTATTTGGAGCTCTGGAGCATCGCTAAGACTGACATGCCCAACGTGCGCACCTAGTTACAAGTTGGCCAAAAGACAGTACTTGTCCGAGTACTATAGACATGACCGATTGTTTTCGGAAACACACCTGCAAGACCCGAGCTCTGTGTTCACCCTGCAACCCACACATGCAAAACTAGCGGCACTTTCTAATCGCGATTGTGTGGAGGTGACGAAGCTATTAAGCCGGTGTTGGCATGCCTCTGAGCCTCCGGGTTGAAGCTGCCCTGATCGATCAGATCCCAATCAACAAGTGGATGCGTGCCGCCCAACTAGGTGGCTCATTCAAAGCATCGAGGTCGCGATAAGGAAAAACGGTGATTGTTTAGCAATGCTGCATAAGCTCCCAGAAATTGTATCACTGACTAGGTGACTTCTAGTACGAAATGAACTAGCCGGCCCGTAGCCTAAAGGATTAAAATCCTGCCTTGTAATCCGACGGCGAAGGGTCGAGCCTACGTAGGGGACCGGGCGACCCTTGCAAAATCCTTAACGCACTGCGACTGTTGGTAGTTGCGCAGCAGCGAAGCATTCGCAATGCGTACCAGCGCACCGTTGATATTATTTTAATTGAACGAGCTCCTTCTTCACGAAACAAGTACGTATACTGAAGTGCTGACTAGTGATCTGAAGGCTCAAGCTGGAAAACAGTCCACTTATGAGCTACATCTGGGCGGCCAATAAGGTGTAGGTTCGAGTAATGACAAAGGTAAGCGGTTGCTATACCTGTGTGAAGAGGTTCGCCTATTTATCGCGAGCATTAGCTTCCGACACAGTACCCACAGAAGAATGACATGGCGCTCACCAGCCTTGGAGGAACCGCGACGCAAGTTGATCGTATTGTGATCAGCCACCGTTGGAGAGGTTGTGTTCCAAAATTCCATTGGATATGAAGCACAAGTATGGACTCTGACCACGCACTTGTGTGTACCAATCTCCAAGTTCGCTTCGGCGGGTGCCTGCAACGACGCTGTGAGTGCATAGGCAATATCCAAACGGCTAAGCCAGGTGTTCTGAATGCACACCAAATTTTGTTGGAATGCAGGTTGAGTAAGTGCTGACCGAACATAGTTGAGTCAATGGTCGCATACCCACCAGACGTTAGTAGCATCAGGTTTGCCTTCATGCGATAAATCAAACAGCTAACCTAGACATAGGGTCTCTACAGTCTATGGAACGCCAGGGTTTCTGCTGAGATTTTGACGGGAAAAAGGTATCAGCAGTACGCCGGTACACAGTACCGACACTTCGCTGCCGCGCTACCACCAATGGTCGCACGTGGCGTAAGGAAACTAGGAGGGTCACACGGTCCATACGCAGGCTCGAATCCACGTTCTGGGACTACAAGGCGGGCTTGTGATCCCTAAGGCTACGGGCCGGCATTCAACGGGGAGCGAACATGGGGCTCGCAAAGACCTCAGGGTGAAACTGCGTGCTAGTCTGAAGACAGACTGCGAAGCCTAGTGGTCTCACCGTGCATCGGAGATGGAAATGGCTGCTGTCCTCGGTAGCCATTAGAAGTTATTCCGCCTGATCCGCGAAACCGGCAGAAGGATACCTGCTGTTTAGCGAGACTGTTTACGACGAGAGCGGACAGCCAATCTAACCCTACGCTCGGAACGTTGGGCCGAACATTTCGAAAAGTAGTTTACTCAACCTGAGTTAGCAAGTTCCTTTTCGGACATGGATTTCCTTCTCTCTGGGCCGTCCCCTTGGACCCATCCTCACGCTTAGAAGTCGAACGTGAGGTCGTACTGTTGAAATTGAATAAGGCAATAGCAGCAGATCGACTTCCTTCAGCCCATTTCACATTTGGGGGATCAGGTCTTGTGGAAGATAAGCACAAATTATCAGTGAAACAAAGGGAGTAGGTTACTGTCTCAAGATACCAGAAGCTCTCCGTTAATGTACCAATTTTCAGGGGTCACTTTCGGAATGCGAGTCCCAGAGGATCAGCCCGTTCTCAACTGTAAGTTAGTTGCCTCTGTCGTTCTTCATAGACTGACTGACACCCGAGAAAGCCAGATTCGTTAGAATTAGGCAGGGTTTCGTTGAAGTCGGGGCTGTATCGACCACAACATAACATTAAGTCCATTGTTGGAACACCACTATAACTATTGGTGACCCACCGTAGTCGTGTTCATCGACATCAAGGTGCCATTGATTCGAGGGATCGATGTGCCCTTTGGGACTATCTTAAGAAAGGTGTGCCCGAGATATGCGTAAATACTATGAGAGGGCTGTACGCATCAAGTTCGGGCAGAGTGAGGGTTTATGGCAAACCATCGCCGAGCATCAACATATCCAGCAGTGTGATACAAGGTTGTTCTCTGTCGTCTTTCCTCTTTAAGTGCGTCAGTGACGAAGTCATGGAAACGGTGTTCATTGCGCACGACCTACAAGGTGTGGAGCTACTCCAAGGTGATCGGACTGTTGACTTTAAGTACGCCAACGACATTTCTCTAAGCTGTAACAGCTCATAAATGTGCGAAGCGACACTGGGTGAATTAGCAATGGCTGTCAAGGGTTTCGGAATATGCTTCGCACCCCAGAAGTGACAGGAACCCAACTTTGTGCTGACCATTAGTGGGGAGTAGCTAGAAGTCGTCCAGGAATTCACGTTCCTAGGTAGCTATATAGGCGCCTGTGGAATGGAAGATGAGATCAGAAACAGTTTACCAAAAGATCGAAGCCCTTTTGCTACTCTTCGCCACTCGCGGTGCCCGCACGACAACTCTTACTCTGAAGAGTAGAGTTTACGTTGTAGCGGTCCGTTCAACTTTCCTGTGCGGCTGCGAAACCTGGCACATTAGATCGACAGACATAAAGAGTCTAGTTACATTCGGCCATTGGTACCTTCAGAATTCAGCCCATGTCTAGTGGAATCACTGCGTGAGTTGTAGGCGTGCTCCGCGTCTCGTACTAGATGCAGGAAGTGTGAGTGAAGCGTGCAAAGCTGTTATATCCCGCATCAGGCCCCGGCGGCTGGGCCACGTGTTGCGCATGCCAGCTCACCGACTTTCGCGACGCGCGTTATTTACGCCAAGATATGGGGAGGTCCACCGATGATCTGGTCAAGAGGAATGAAGACCCACACTTCGAGGTTGGTCTCGGTTAGAGATTTCTGATTGCCGGGTTAGGGTCCCTAGGACGATGACCAAGTTTGGTTGGATACACTTGTTGACGTGGCCAGAAGCCGACATAAGTTGAATTGGTGTTGGGAGTTTCTTCAACTCACCCCTTCCCCCCCCACTTACCTTCCCACTCTAGCCACGACCTCATACTATAAAATATGACACTAAGCACTTTTATTTTGTATGCTGTAATGTCCAGTATCTCGTTTTTTCATATTCTGACTTTTTGTATTGCAGCATAGTAGCTGGGGTGTTCCACACCCTCAGCCAAGGTTTAATGATGATGATAAACTTCCCGATGGTGTAATCTTATAGCCATAATGAAACGCGAAAGATGAGGGGGTACAGTGTGCTAATGGTGTTCGATAAAATACCTAGGACAAGTAAGATAGGTGGTCATAACAAAGGAATGGCATGCATCGACTCTTAATAGGAGTAAAGGGTACCTAAGGGCGATTGTTAGTTAAAGTACAGATGTTTCGCGGGTTTATTTGAAAGCACGCAAACGATCGGACCGCAAACAGATGGCGAACACAAAATGCTATGAAAAAGAACAACTCAAGAAAGGTATGGACTGTTGAAATTACCCGAAGGAGGGATTAGAGATGGTGCTCCAATGGTTGTGGGAGGCGCGCCGGGGCCAGAAGGAGCAACGCCCACCGTTCCCGGTAACGGCATTGTCGTGGCTGCTGGAGCATCCTTGGTATCGTCCAAAACAGATAAGTACTGATTCTCTGTGAACCACTCTGACTGCGAGACAGATTCCCCTGGAAATTGGTGGCAGAGCGGAGGGAAGTTCGGATTAAAGAAGGTATAAATAAAAAAGCGCTACAAGAGACATATTTGTTCTAAAGGCCGATATTTAAATTCCGGTAACATAGATAAAAAAAAATGAAGAGAACAGGAGAATAACTTGAACAACTACGGTTTTCTTCAATAAATAAGCAAAAAATCAGAAGCAATCACACAATGAGCCAACAGTAACAAACCTGCTCGCCAACGTTTCATCTCCGCTTCAAGTCGTGCGATAACCGTGCGTAGCTTGCGCACGCGTTCCTTTTCCCGTTCATACCGACGGCGCCACTCATCAGCCGTTAATTCCTCGTTTACTGTGACCAGATTCTTGATGGTTTTCGCTCGCATACCGAAAAGCAAAGTTGACTTAGTCTCGGAATCATTGTAAGCTGCCGGGGAGCAGCAGATCACCATCGTTGTACGTGCGTTTCCGCCGAGCGACTCTTGAAGGATCCGAGTTAATTTGGAGTCACGATATGGCACATGCGACTAGATAAGTAGCAAAATAAAAAATAAAGTAAAAATTCCAGGTGTTTCGTAACATACTGAGACCCGACACGGATTTCGACCTATGATCTCGGGAGCTGGATCACAAAATTGATTAACTGGTTGATTGACTGGGTCCCGGACGTAATTTCATGCTAATTAATTCATTATAACTAAAAGTATTGTAGTATACTCGATGAAGAATCCGCCGTAAACAGTCACTTGTCCTACGCTAATCACATAGGTTCCTACTTTAGAATGGTAAAACATGCTCTCGTTAGAACTACCAGAGCCATAAACGGGGTGAAACGCTATTCTACGGCACAAACGAAGCACTTCCAAGCACTACAGTAAGTAGCTTCTTAAGACCAATGAAACTCTAATCCGAAAAAATACGTAAAACTGGTTCGTTCTGACAGAAGCAGATTTAAATTTTTCACAGCATTTTCACTTCAAATTGGACATCATGCAAACCAAATTGGACACACCGCATTCTAAGCAGAAAAGCAGCAATTTTTTAGAAAATAAGAAGTAAGGCGATTGAATTATGTTCTGACCAAATTGTAGTCATGCTAATGCAACCGAATTGTGTAAACAGCAGTTGACAATGCAAACCCTTCTCTTGATCGTGAACCTCGATCAAAGGCCGTGTCTAAGTTTCCTCTCTCCCCATCGGTCTTCGCGTAGTTTCTGTGTCTTTGCCTTTGCGCATGAACCTGTTTAGCTGTATGACTATCGGAAAGTCAGACTAAATCTAGTGCTCAAGATGTGCCAGTACGAGCTAGAGCGCGTCAATAGTCCCAAGACAATCACAAGCCGGCAATCTTACGGACTTGACTTCACGGTACGCGCACTACATGACAAAGAGAAATGCATCTACATAGATGAGAGCAAATTCAATTTTCATCGGCGGCGGACACAGGCTCGCTCAAGAGGAAGGACACGCGCCAACGACCTCTTGTCCAGAGTCAGAGGTCGCACAGTGACGCTGATTGTGGCAATGAACAAGCAACCATCGTCCATTCAAAGATCAACAACGATGACATCTGCAATGGTGCAAAATTCTCAATGTTCGTCGAGGAACTTGTGGAGCGTATAGGCTGCAGATAAACGGTGCATGAATGGTCATGGACAACTCCAGGATCCACATGCCGGATAATCTAAAGAGGATTTTGGGCTCGTCTTATCAGCTGCAGTTTCTGTTGTCCTACTCATCACCATCATTATATACGCAAGCTAGAGGTGGAAAACACTTCGGCTACTGTGCCGCAATAGATAAAAATATGCAACAGATGCATGCCAGCTTAGCTACCAATAACGGATGGGCGTCGTTTCGGAAAGCCCTACTCATACATACTAAACCCAGTAGAACACGTGTGGACAACTGAACTGATATTGTAAGTGTTCTGCAGAACGAACCATAGGGCACTCTTTATTGTGAATCCGAGTACCCGTGCTGCCTCTGATTATTTCACTGACGCC